TTTCTCTTGAATGCTTCCAGCTTTGGAGCGCTCATCACCTTCCAAGGTCATGGGGTTCTATTGTTGTACTCTTCTAAGAGGAAGTTTTTCCTGATATTCAACCAAAATATGTCTTCCTGTCACTTGGGCCCATTATGATGTGTCCTGCAATCTGGGATGATCGAGAACCGATCCTGCCTCTCTTTTGCATGACCACCTTTCAAGTCTTTGAAAAAGGCCCTCCTCTCTCCCCTCAAACTTCTTTTCTCAAGGCTAAAACATGACGACAGTGTTTTTGAAGGGAATGAATGCATCAGCAACAGCTAGATAAAAGCCTTTTTTTTTAATTTTATCAAATGGATCTGTACAAAAGTTAGCATTACTTAGTCGGAAGCTAGTGAAGAGAACAGATAACAGCAGATGACCTTCGAACTTTATACAGAAAAATAGATTTCATAAAAAGGAGTTTCTGCTCTCAAGTCCCACCCACCCAAACCCCCCATATGCAATAAAACAAAACCAAAATCCTTTTAGGAAAAATGAACAAAAACAAACAAACAAAACAAAAACAGAAGAATTACGAAACATAGAAAAGGTAAGATAGATAACCTCTGAAAGTTTAAAGATTTATAAAGTTTTCTTCTTTTTTTTAAAAGGCACAACATTATCATTAGAGTAGGTGGTTATTATATGCTCAGCATACAATGGAACGAATATCAACGAAAGATTAGTCTACAACTAAACTCTAACCAAAATATAGTGGAGAACATTTTATTTTCACAGCTTTAATGGATGACATCTGGTCCCTAAACAGGCAATGTTAGAAGTGAAACTCAATCCATAACGTCTGCTGAAAAATGTAATTTCTTAAGACTAGCCTACATTGCTGACACAGTTCAAGAATTCGGCTTAAGCCTTGAGAACCAATTTAATGGACTGAACCCAGAGGATGGCCTGGCAAGCGGAAGAATTATGGTTACAGTGGTGCCTCGCTTAACGGGCGCTCCATTTAGTGACGAAACCGCATAGCGACAAAGTTTTTAACGGGCCAAAAGTGATCGCTTTGCGATGTTCCCTATGGGGGAATTTCGCTTTGCGATGATTGGTTCCCTGTTTCGCAAAGCAATGATTTTTTTAACAGCTGATCGACGGTTTCAAAATGGCTGCCAGGTAAACAAAATGGCCGCACGCCGTGTTTTCGCACTGATTCCTCGTTTTAGAGGCACCGAAAATGGCGGTGCTATGGAGGATCTTCGCTGAAAGGTTAGTTTTAAGCCCATAGGGATGCATTGAAGGGGTTTCAATGCATTTCTATGGGCTTTTTAAAATCGCATAGCGACGAAATCGCTTAGCAGCGATTTTTTCTGCACGGATTAATGTCGCTATGTGAGGCACCACTGTATTTTCTGTTTTCTGCATTTACACTCAAGTAGCCTCCGTGAATGAAAGGAAGGCCCTTACCCAAATTCACATTTTGCCTATATCTTGTAAAGCGAATTCCTGCGGGAGGACTATGTGTGCAAAATAGATAAGCGGGACGGGTTATTGGGATTGCAGACATTCCGTCCACAAAGATCCATGGATGCATGACCCAGAGAGAAGCTGGAACCTCTCCTGAAAAAATCTGCACCACTTCTAGAATGGTCAATTCGGACACTTCTCTTAATGCAGGAGCAAACAGGATGTAGAAGGACATAATAGAACACCATCGCTATTCAGGCTTAGCAAGGAAGCTGCTCGGTTCCTGCGTTGTAAGACGGGCATTTGAAAATCTCTTTGGGGAACTGAAATTCACGTGACCACCCATGAGAACTTGGAAAAGTTATGGGAGTCGGGGAAGACATCTAATCCAATCAATAGTCCCAAATAGAGTAAACCCACTGAGTCAACAAAAACTTGGTAAGTCAACCCTTATGAGCATTCATTGATTCTACTCTCTTGTGAGCTCAAGGCTTATCCCCACTTCACCCTTACCACACCCTTGTGAGGTAGGACAGAGTGAGAGCATACAACTGGCCCAAGGCTACCAGGCCAGTTTTGTGGCCAAATGTGGGCTCGAACCCAGGTCTCCTTTTATACTGCCGTAGTCTAACACTCTAGCCCTTATATCCCCCCGACATTCGTTTGATTCAATGGGTCTACTCTGGATAGAAGAGTTGAGTTTAGGCCTTGAATTTCCGGAACTGAGTGGCCACGGTGGCTAAGGAATTCTGGGAACTGTAGTTAAAAACAAATCAGTTTTCCAATGGAAATGTCAACGGACGTTGGGAAGGGAAACACAAAAGGAGAAATGTTCAGGTTCTCTTATGATACTAGACTTTGGGGAGAGTGCAACCTGTTGAAGCTCTGAGTTAAAAAACTTAATTTTCAAAGTACGTCCCACTAATTCCTTAATTAGCACTAATCACTATACTAATCACAGCTATCCGATTGATTCAACAGGCCCGTTCTAGTTGGGACTAACATCCAGATTTAGGTTTTAGGCTGCAGCTGAGAAGAAGCTAGTGCCCATTCCAGCTGGGAACTACTACAACAAAAAAGTAACTTTTCCAAGCACTAGGGCACTTGGGAACTGGGGCTCTGCCTCCTTAGAAACTGAAGCACCACGCCTCGCATCAAGAGTGCGACCGGTTCCCAAACCTCTGGACTGATAAACATGTTTTCACGCAACTCCTAGCTGAATTTTCGGGTCCATTTTCTCATAATGAGTTGGCCAACAGGTTTGAGAGAAAGGATCAGAGAAATATCAGGGTTTTTAAAAAGTCTCCCCGACTTTCGGCTCTTGAAGGCAATAAGGCAAGAATAGCACTTTCAGAGACTTCTGTCTTACAAATCCCATCATCCTTCACTATTGCCTAAGTCGGCACAACCTAATGGGAGCAGGAATACAAGGGTATCTAAAGAGCTGCTGAGTCCCTCTTCAAGAATGATATGGATCCAGTTTTCCCCAGAACAGAACACTTTAAGGTCAATGGAAGCCTACACATTAAAGAATTCTAGAATCATGGGGCTGGAAGGGGCCTTTGAGGTCATCCAGTCCAACCCCCTGCTCAAGGCAGGGATCCAAATCAAAGCAGATTGGATTGTCGGTTGCCTGATTTTCTCTTGAAGGCCTCCAGCGTTGGAGCGCTCACCAACTCCTGAAGTTATGGGTTCCGTTATCGTACTGCTCTAACAGTTAAGAAGTTTTTCTTGATATTCAGATATTCAGATATTTAGATTTTCTGTTGCTTGAGCCCACTGATCATCCTTGCTGCCCTCCTCTGAACTTTCCCCAGTTTGTTAGTACACTTCTTAAAGTGTGATGTTCAGAACAGAGCACAACGCCTCCCCCTATAATCATAATTTCTCCTCTTTTTCCTTCAAGCCCTTAGCAATGTATAGCTATGTGGTTTTTTTAAAGTAGCATTTGAAGTTTTTCCTTTATGACCAAACCTAATTGGTGCAACGTTTGCTTTTTTTTAAGTGGCGGCCGGGCGGGGAAAATACATCACGTTGTCTCCACCGACTTATGTGATTGCATCGCTTTAAATCTCTCTCTTTTTTTTTAAAAAAAAAAAGTTCTACTTCTCGCACAGAATTACTTCATTAATTAAAAAGACACCATTACACAGAACATAAATACATATTTAACAGATTTACCCCCCAAAATAATGACCAAAAAAAAATTCAAAATGCTATTTCTGAGCTTAGCATGCCTCTGTTTTTTTTTAAGCTTCCAAACAGAATGTTAATTACAGCCAAACCTTGCCTAGACGTAATCACCACTAAAACGAAGAATATTCTGACATTACTTGGTTGGTCCCAAAGGATATTTTTTTTTCTGAATGGTCCTTCAGTATTGTTAATGGAACGGTTAGGATTTTTTTAAAAAAATGTACAAGGATTCTTTGTGCCAAAGCTAACACGTCTTCCAAAATTGCAATCGACCCTCGGACACCCTTTTTTTTTTTACCCCCCTTCACTTCCGCACAGTTCAGCAAACTAATCTTAAACGAGTTCTCTTCTGGTCCTCACAGAGGTGTTTAGAATATAGTGTCCTTCATGTATTAAAAAAAAAAAAGCATTGGTCCAAATAGGGGATTTATTTTGGCTGCCCCCATTATT